GGACATAGAGCAGCGCCCAGCGGGGAGAAAAGAAACCAGGGATGCGCCGATGTATCGGCCGAAACATGGCTCTTTCGGCATTATGCCAAAAGTGCCATTTTCGGCCGATATGTTTCGGCGGCCGATATATCGGTGCATCCCTAGTTTTAACTAAACTACAGAGTGACATGTACCTTTTGTACTGTACTAATGAGTGAAGTGTTCCATTGCAGTGTGCTACTAAAGTGCATAACATGCAGTACAATGCTAGGGAACAGTCTCTCTACCGATTAGAGTCAGTGGTGGAGCACCAGGGCCCAGTTGCAGCTGCGACCGCTGTGACCCTGGTAGTTGTGCCACTGACTCCAACCTGTAAAGAAACTAATCTCAGCAAAATATTATTCAGCAATGCAGAATACCGCCAACTATAGAGGACTACAAATCCCAGCAATACATTATACAGCAATGCAGAATACCACAAACTATAGACCACTACAAATCCCATGAATACAATATACAGCAATGCAGAACACCACCAAATCCCAACAATACATTACACAGCAATGCAGAATATTACCAACTATAGAGGACTACATATCCCAGCAATACAATATACAGCAATGTAGAATACCACTAACTATGGAAGACTAAATATCCCAGCAATACATTATACAGCAATGCAGAATAACACCTACTATAGAGGACAACATATCCCAGCATCACATTATACAGCAATGTAGAATAAGACCATCAGCTATAGAGCACTGCAAATCCCAGAAATAAATTTTTTATGCAATCTTTATTTCAGATTGCATAAAAAATGCCCAGATCGTGTACCAAGGCGATCCGGGACAGTCTGATCTATTTCCATTGGTGGGCCCTGGGGGCCCAGTCACACAATCAAGAGTGCGTTCGGCCTCTGGAACGCAACCGGAGGGGGCGTGGCGGTGCATTGAACTCAATTGCACCGCAGCCACGCCCTCCGCCCATGGCGCAATTGTCGGCACCCAAATGTGTGGCACATTAGTGCCTGCATTCCGGTCCAGTGTGATCTGCAAAAAATAGTGCATGCAGCATTTTTTGCAGATAGCACTAAACCAGGACGCAAGCACTAATGTACCAAGCGCTCAAGTGCCGGTGATTGCGACGCAGACGAGGGGCGTGGCTGTGGTGCCATTGAGTTTAATGCACCGCCATGCCCCCTCCCGCCCCAAAGCAAATGTGGGCCGAGTGGGTTGCGTTCCAGTGCGTTCCAGGGCGTTAAGGTTAGGTTCACACCTCTGCGACACCTCGCCACGTGGCAATCGTTCACGATTCCGCACGGATTGCCGCACGGTCAGGAGTCGCCAAGGTGTAAACCGATCGCGCTGTGGGTGCTATTATTTTCTAACGACCCCAGTCCCGCCGGGCGGATTGTGCGGTTTCCTGCCGTGATTACGCCCGTGCTTCCTAAAACAGCCGCGCGTATCGCAAAAAGAAGGTACTTGTACCTTTTTTTTTTTCCTGCGATTGCTGCGTGGATATCACCCCATTGAAATCAATGGGGCCACGCGGCAATCGCTGCCTGCATTGTACAGGACCGCACGATCTCGGGACGCGTCCCGGGTGTTGTGCAGGTGTGAACTTAGCCTAACTCCTAAAAAGGAGAACTGTTTGAACAAATTGTCTCGTTTTCTAATATTGGTTTTCTTTCAGATACTTTTGAAATGAGGCCTTAGTGCAGCATTGGCCTATGCGGTGTCTTCAGATTTTGCATACATTTACCAGTGTAGCTTATCTTGTTGCTTTTAACAACACAAAGGGAATAACTAGAGTTTGACTTGTTTGTCTTTATACAGGAGAATGCATTAGCGGTGCCCTCTGCTGGGAAGAAGTTTATCAGATTGCTGAAGAAATTGGTTTTGCCCCCCCACGTTTAGTCACCTCCAGTAACATCACAGTGGATAACAAAGACCTGGAAGAAATTATTGGTGGGACTGTTATGTTTATTATATAACTTTAACATTAGCCTGCTGTTTTCAACATGTGCATGGTGTGTATTTTTTTTTCAAAATCAATTGATTGCTTCTAAATACCTTCTTAAGACTGTTTAGCACTGATGGCTACATTTATCTTTTTCGGTGGGGACCATTGTGTTGAATCACCTGCCAGATTATTGTGTTTCGCAAAGAACTATCCAATACCCCGGGCCATAAAAACAGTATTACTATCAGCTGTACCCCTCAGCCGTCTGTTTATTTTATTATGGAGCACCATTCAGGGCATTTTTACACCAGCATCTAATTTTGTAATGACAGTGGCAGTTGGGTGGAAGTGAGAATTCTGGAGGAGATATATCACCAATGGTGACACACTTGAGTAGTGATGGCTATGGTAAAACCAGGCTTAGGAGTGTTATTGGGGTAATTGACACATCTGTTGTAGATTTTTTAAAAACCACAGATACACTTCTTATCTAGGTATGGGTTGGTGGGAGTCCTTTTGAAATGTCCATATACCTTTGATCAGAGGCCGGAAGGAATAATGTTGCCAGAGATCATAACTTCATATAAGCTCATAGCACCATATATAATTCCTGTCCCTAGTCTACTACTGCTTTAAAAGTTCCAAGTGCTAAACATTGATATACTCAGTTTTAATGAGTGATGAAGTTTTGGATGATGTGATCCTGTTTGTTTCATTGTCCTGCTGTAATCTTCCAGCTTACTCTACAGCCAGAGACCTTGATATGTTATCTGACTTGTATGCGGTGGGAAAGTGTGATTGCATTCTTAAAAGCCACAGCCCCCAACCTTGAAACAGTGGATTATTACATAATGAAGTAACTTTGTATAGGAGGAAGGGGGGGATGTGGCCATAGAATGGATTTCAATTCCATATGTTTGTGTTCATATTATGCTAGGCCATGCAAGCAGTGTAATATAGAAAGGGACAGAATGGCATGGAGGAAGATGTCGTAGTGTTAATGTTCTCCCACTTTAATGGGACTGGCTGATAACCTGCTGATTAGTAGTTAACCACATCTGTCCAGTGAGATCACAGCAGGACAAAAAAGGTGGTGTAGGAACCGGCCTCCCATGTTGAGAACCATAGAGGGCCAAAACACCATGGCTGAAACCGGCCCCGCATGGTGCAGGGGCTAAGTGCTGCAGTAACATCAGTGAGCCCACTTCTGGGTGTAGTATGAATTGGATTAATAGGCTGGGTTCGCTTCACGACCAAACTTTTCCAGTCCTATCACAAAACCGGCAATATTTAACAGGTGGCTTAGACTAGCCTGAAAGTGACAGACAGGTTTAGATCTGCTCATCAGCTGTAGTGCTAAAGCCAGTTGATCTTTCCCTCTTGCTCAACAAACAGATCATAGTGCATATGGAGTTAGCACCTTCCTTCCCTCTTCTAATTTAGAAGAGGGATTGGCCAAATCTGCATGTCTGGTTTCCTTCATTTACCTACAGCCAGGGTACTGTGACCAAACTCTTCCCTTATAGGAACAAAAGTTTTGTTTGATATGAAAAAAAAATGACATTTGCCATTTTATGTGACCTCTTCTGTCTTATTTCTGTGTTTTAGGCGACTACAAGTTTGTCTCCGCTACGTTTCGCCTCTTCAAGCTGCCTCAGGAATATGTGAAGGAAAAGGGTCAGGTTATCTATAATGGAGGAGTCACAGGCTGTGAGACAGAAATACAGTTTGATGCAAATGTCACTTTTAAGGTAACTCACTGTAGATTTAATTCAACTGTGAGAAGTAGAGTATGTTGTGATGATGATGATTATGATGATTAATACCATGGCACAATGGAATGAAGTATCAGTTCCCAATTTGCTGTTACGTAGAAACATAGAAGTGAGACAGCAGAAAAAGTCATGTGTGCCCCTTTTTTTAAAAATGTTTTTTGGTTTCTTTTTTGTATAGATCTAGGTTTGTCCCAAGCATTTTTACATTTACTGACTGTTGACTAATTCACTACCTGTGCTGGAAGTCTGTCCCAGGCAGCAACCATGCTCTAAGTAAAATAATACTTCCTACGGTTAGTTTTGAACATTCCTTTGAGGTCATGTGCCCATATACATGATCTTAGCTTCATATTGAAAATACTGTAATATATTTAACCCCTTCATGACTGAGGCCTTTTTTTTTTTCATTTTTTGCACCCATGTTATATTCCACATTTTAGGCCCGAAAATTAATTAAAACCCCCAAACATTATATATTTTCTGAACGCCAAGACCCTATAGAATAAAATGGTGGTAGTTGCAAATGTTTATGTTGCGCAATATTAGCGCAACTCCTTATTAAACCCCAACATTTAGTGAAACATTTAATTTAATTCCCCTAAAACACAACAAAATACCAATTTTTTTAATGAAATATAAAAGATGAGGTTACAACGAGTAAAACGATACCCAACATGCCCAGGTTACAAATTGTGTGCGTCCGTGAAAAACTGCAGTATCCCAAAAAGTCCATAGAAGACGCTTTAAAAGCCCCCACAGGTCATCAGTTTAGAGATACCCCAAAATACTGGCCCTAGAATTATTGCTCTCCCTCCGGCGTGCGCAGCGATACCCAACATGTGTAGCGCGTTCGTCGTTTTCATACGTAGGCGCACCCGACGTTTGTTTACGTGGCGACGCGCGTGCTCACGGGGGCAGGGGACTTTAAAAAAAAATTTTTTTAGTAGATTTATTTTAATTTAAACTTTGACTGCTATCACATAGGGGGGCTTACAAGCCCCCACATGTGATAGCCGATGGTGGTGACAGGTACTCTTTAACGTGATGCTGGGGGTCCAAAAGACCCCCAGTGTCAGCTTTACACTGGAAATAAGCTATTGAAGTGCAGATCGCACTTCAATAGCTTATAGCTGGGCTGCAGGAGCCCAGAACTGACAGCCCAGGGACCGGAAGTGATGCAATCTGCATCGCTCCCGGTCCCATAGAACGGGGAGGGGATCGATTAACGGAAGTTCGTCTGCCTCCTCCCCAGCTCCCCACAGACGGCAGTCCCGGGCCCGTAGGAGGGGCAACGGAGCCCAGGAAGCACGGCGCCCCTTCTACTGGACACAGAAGCGATCTGGCGACAGGTAAGTCGCCAGAATCGCTTCTGTTGTAAAGCCGACAGTCGGCTTCACAAGTTTAGACAGAGTCCCGGCGGCAATAGCCGCCGGGACTCTGTTTAAACAGCCCCGATGCTGGCGACGTACACTGTACGTTGTCAGTCATGAAGGGGTTAAAGATTTCAGTCATGTCCCGTGGAATGGAACTCCCTGCTCACCAGTATCTCTTTAGATCTTCTCACATACAACATTGTTAAAATTAACTCCGTTACAAAAACTAGAGGCCATCACCTAAAATTGATGGAAAAAAAATTCCAGCACAAGGGGCGAAGGGGGTTCTTCACAGTAAGATCAGTTAGGGTCTGGAACTCACTGCCACAGGCGGTGATTTCAGCAAATAATGTGGAATTGTTCAAGAAACTTTTGGACGATTTCTTAAGGGACCGTAATATACAGGGGTACGGGTACTCCTAGAATGAGATCCTAATAGGTTGGACTTGATGGACTAATGTCTTTATTCAACCTCAAATACTATGTAACTATTGTATCGCCATTTAATCTGTCTGAGTGCTGATCCCAGGTCTCCAAATTTAAGTGCTTACTCATTGGACAACATCTGAATAATCTAGTCATTAGCCCCTCAAACAGGCAGCAGGTGAACCTCCACATGGGGTGGCCAAAAAGAGGCAGCACAGTGTTAAAGTAATTAGCAACCTTGTCTTGCAGTACTGAGATCCTAGAATTGATATTGAGCAATGACCCTATGTGCATTGTAAGTGCTCCATATGTTGGTTAGTTGGCTTCCACCTACACATAAGAAAGGCCAATCCCTACCAACTAAAGAGTTATCTCTATAGAGTTGGGAGAATGGCACAGACTAGACATGTGTGATTCGTTTCGGAAAGATTCGTCATTCGGACAAATCTTCGGAAATTTGGATATATCTGAATCTCAGAATGACAGAAATGACGAATGCAAATGAATCTGAATTTCCGATACCGAAAATTTCAGACAAAATTCGTTAGCGGTAGTCTGTGCGAATTTTTGTTTGTGGATGAATATTCGTTGCAGGCCACGTGCCCCACAAGGGCCTCTTCCCCCACTACCCTGAGCCGGTGGTTGTGGGGGTCTGAGGGCAAGGGGGCTTATTTGCATTGGGGTACCCCTTTATATAAGGGGCACCCAGATGCCGCCCCCCCGCTTGTGAATGAGTAAGGGGTACTTGTACCCCTACTCATTCACTTAAGAGTTAAAATTCAATGTAAATAAACAAACCACGATTTTAGAAAAAATTCTGTAATTGAAAAAAAACAAAGTAAATTTTTGACAATTCCTTTAATGAAATAAAAATGGCTCCATTGATTTAATCCACCGTCAGTCACGATGCACGACGCCTGTCGACCCGCCGAAATAAAAAAAGTCCTGCCACGTGACGACCGTCCGAACCCGATGAAGACTCGCAGGAAAATGTCATCTCCTGCCAGAAAGTAAACAGATGGGCGGAGCGAGCTGTGACATCACAGGGCTTGCTCCGCTCATTTGGGGGGGGGCGGCATCTGGTACTCCCTAATTAAAGGGGTACCCCGATGCAAATAAACCCCCTTGCCCGCAGACCCCCACAACCCTCCCAAGGCGCAGGGTCTGGTCTGGTAAGGCGCAGGGAGGGGGGGCTCTCGATGTCGCCGCCCCCCCCCCTCCTTTCCTGCCCTGCTGGGCCTGTGCTCGGATCATGGGTCTGTTAGCAATTTTAGGGGGGGAAGGTCTTGTCCATCTCCCTATCAGTGACTGGAAAAAGAAAGAAGAAGCAGCAGATTGAATTCATCTTTCCGTCACACTGCTCTCTCCTCCTGCTATGTCCATTGCAGTGCTGCATACCTGATTTGCTCCTTGTGTTGTCCCCCCCAAGTCTCCTGTACAGATATTGAAAATAGCTAATACTAAGCCAAATTCAAATACTCTGTGTGCATTAAAAATCCATATCATGTTTTGATGATTACAGAGCTGCATTAGTCTGTGTCTTCTATATCTGCCCAGAGTTCAGCTTTAATTACATCCCCTATAGAAACCTTACCAAATTCCCCCATGATGTCCTTTTAGCTAAAACAATTACGAATATACCTAGACAAACTGATTGCATTTATGTTTTAAGTAGCCAGAATAGAGAGAGCTTTGTAAGTTGTGGAAATCGTCTATTATTAGTTTCGAATTGGTAAAAAGTTAGATTTTTGTGGACCATGGAACAATAAACTTAAATGTTTTTGGAAGGTCTAGGTCCTATGGATAAAATACCTCCCTACAGACACACTGGAGGGATAGGTGACAAAATCCTTCAGGCCCCCCCCTCCCTTCCCAGGCACCCCTGCTCCCTCGTATCTAACTTTCCTTTCATGCATCCATGGATATCTCTAATTGCTAACATCTAAATCCTTCCATTGATTACTTCCTCCAGTCCCATAACTGAAGGTCCTACCTTATTATGGACCTGGGGATGGTGGTATAGTCTGTGGGAGCCTGTTCACTGTACCTGCCATTCACTGATCACATTTGCAAAGCTTTGCCGGCTCCAATGCAAAAACACATTAAATAAATGCACATTTTTTCTTTCATTGGTGTGTGTGCATTTATAATTATTTTTTGTAACGGTGGACTATGCCTTTCAATTTCATTCAAGGCTAGTGAAAATGGTGGAAGGTGTTTCCCACACTTATTTCATATGCCCATCAATGTAAACTGCTACTGCAAAATGTAATTCTACTCTTTTTTTTTTTTTGTACCGCTTTTGAAAATCAATAAGATATTGAAACATAAAAGATAATATTTAACATTATATTTTTTACTGCTAAGAATATCTCATATCAGAGCTATAACTCTTTTCTTGTCCTGTAAAGGAAGGTGAAGTTGTGGAAGTCGATGAAGAATTGTGGAGCATCCTCAAGAGTTCACGATTTTCGGATGAGTTTCTGTTTCAGCCTGCCGGGAAGGCAAAATCTTGCCAGAAGAAAAAGGTTTGTTTTGCTTGGAAATTGGAACTATGGGCAAAAAGTGTGCGTTACTGTGCGCTTTACACCAACATATAGTAACAAGCTTTAGTGGGAGCTGGTTCCATTCAAACTGAGTGACACCTCAACACACTTTCTCAGCCCACATACGTTGACACACATTGGACAAGTGGGGGGAGCAGTTTGGCATCTTTGCCCTGGGCACTAGATGACTTTGTTCTGGCAAGAAGATCTGCAGCGGCAGCCTCCATATTCTGGGGGCGGCAGAGGATGCTGGACAACGCTGTCAGTGGCTCTGTCTGACATCCAGTCCTGCTCACTGATGTCACTGGTTGCCAGAAGCTTGGCAGGACATAAGCCAGAGAATTCTGCTCAGCTCTTGCCAACCAGTGATGTCAGTGAGCTGGGCGAGACACTAGACAGAGCGTCACAGGTTGCTAAAAGCTTTTAGCCAGTCTGCCACCCCCCCCCCATACCACCACCCGGCTGCCCCCAATGAGGCAACCGTCTCAGGTTGCCTTATTATAGGGACGAACCCTGACTCAGCCTACCATCTCTATTTAAATGTAATAGGGCTGGTAATGATTAAAATTTTTGTTCGATTTTGTGTTCGATTAATCGAAAAATGTTTTAATCAATTAATCGATTAATTTTGATTAATTATAACGCACATACAGATCCAACTACATTGGCCTATACACATGCAGCATAGCGATGTAGTAATAAAATGAACTAGGATCACACTAATCCAGCACGTTATTAATCTTACGTGCCCCACTTAATATGGCCGCAGCTTGAGTGGGGCAACTCAGAATAATAACGTGCTGGATTAGTGTGATCCTAGTTCATTGTATTACTTCATTGCTGTGCTGTATGTGTATAGGCCAATGCCTTGGCTGGTGCTCGTGCAGAACAAGTTTCTTGGGCAAACTCACCGGCCCAAGTGGCTCCGTCGGCTAACGAAGGGAAGGGGGAGGAGTCCGGTGACGTCACCGGACTGGTGGGAGGGGAAGCGCTCAAACTGAGTTGTACCTGTCTAGTAGGTGGGGATCTGGCTGGGTGGGGGGAGATGGTGTGTTGGGGTCTGGGACCGCTTGGGTGAACAATGGGTGTAGGTGAGGCAGGATAGGATAGGTGGATCAGGTGAAGGTGGAAGGGAGAGATGGGCACTCACAGGTGATGGACTCCTGGTGATGTCGTGACCTTTGGGTCATCCAAGTTAGTTGCGTCTCTGGATCAAGGCTATCGGGAAGGTGGTGCTGCGTGGTGATGTGCCAGCACTTCTGGTCGGATATCCGGAGTGTCAGCGTGTAGTCGGGAGTAATATAGGTAATAGGTAACAATACATGAACTTACCATTAGGTAATAAATGCTGCGCCATCAACGACGATGGACATGATGATTATGTGAATCAAGGTGGGTGATGGATGTTCAGCTGGATGTTGTGGTGGGTCTGGATCCTGTATTGCTGATGCTGTAGCAGCTGCTAGAGAATCCTAAGAATGCTGGACTGCTAAGCAGATGCTAGTGGGAAGGGAGGGGGGAGAGAAGAAGGGCTGTGGACGGATAAGCTGTGAACACTTGTATATGTTGTCTGTTAGTGAGAGAACGGTCGTTAAAGCAGCTGACTGCTGGGTGAGTCACTGCGTTGCTTAGCTGCAACGAGGACCGTGAGTGGAGAGAGAGGAGGGAGGGAAGGACTCCTCTGCTGTGTTCAGTGGATTTGAATGACAGCTGGGGAGTGTATTGCCTGCCGTACAGTCTGCGGGAGGGCAGAGTGAATATGGAGATGGCACTGCAGGACGGGGCCACAGATGAGACAGGTCGCCGGGACCGAGGCCCGGGCAGCGTGTCAGGAGAAACAAGGATGGCAGCTGGAGAGTGTCCCGGTCTGCAGGAGGGGAGAGCAGATGTGAGGGTGGTACTGCAGGACAGGGGCACAGGTTTAACAGACTGCTTGGACCGAGACCAGCCCGAAGCCCGGGCAGAGTGTCAGGAGGAACAATGGTTTAAACGGCAATGCGTTTAGAAGATGTCTCGATTCTTCTTTGTCAAGCCGGTGTGAAAGGGGAGAGGGACTCCTCCCCCCTTCCCTTCGTTAGCCAATGGGGAAGGGGGGAGGAGTCCGGTGACGTCACGGACCCGGAAGGCGGCGGAAAGGTGTGTACCAATCAAAATAATTTTAATCGATCAAAGAAATTAACGAATGCACTGTATAATGTATTATTGCTAGGATGTTTAGTCCTCTATAGCCGGTGCAATTCTGCATTCATTGCTGTATAATTTTACACTTTCCTTTTCACTATATTGCACACCACACTATTTTTTTCCACCGCTCCAAGCTTGCTCCTGTGATGGACTACAATCTCAATACAAACTAGTAGTCCCATCACTGGAGCCATTTTTAATTTTTTTTTTGTTTATCCGATTAATCGAACTTAATAATCGGCTAACTAATCGATTTTGGAAATAATCGTTAGCTGCAGCTCTAAATCGAGGAATTAATCGTTAATTTCCGCAGCCCTAAAATTTAATAAAACTCACAATTAAATACTATGAAACAGCAATCCCTTCTGGACTGCATATTTCTCGCTGCAAATGTCCATAGGAGGGAGGCACATATTGCTTTTTCATGATTTTGTTTTTAATAGAATGCCACCCAGTAATTGTATGTAGACATTTTTCAGGTTAACAGATTGCAACTGTTTGATAATTATAGACAGCGAGGAGAATTCAGACCTCTGTAAGGAGCCATTACATACACTTCATACTGAAAGAACCGCAGGTTACAGGCACTTCTTTGATTCTCTAGGCACGTGTGTCTTCCAGATTCAAAATGCAAGCAGGGGCCTAAAAACAAATGTAACACTGCAGCGTAATTTGTTTTCTTTGTTTGAGTAGAAGAGAGGACTAGAACCTCCGCTACATCTGGGGCAAAGAAAACAGCAGCCTGGGGAAGCATTAAGTAGAAACAGAGCCCTGCTAACAAGCACATATACTGTGCTTAAAACTGACCTAGTACCAGATGCACTTATGTTGAATAGATGTGTGCTATGTAATGTGTGTTGGTATGGCAGGAATTTATGACCTCTCACATAGATTGCAGTACCTCCCCTGTCAATACCGTCTATGCTCCAAAAGGTCATATTTGTTCAAGTTTCAGTCCAGGCCCAACATTTACTTCCTGTATTTAGATGTTGGCTTAGAGGTGACACAATTGTGCTCACAAATGGCTTACACAAATAAGCCCTTGCTGCTGCCTCTCACCTTGTGACCCTCTACAATATAGCAGTCTGATTCTGGGAGAAAAGACTTGAGCAAATGCTTCCCCCTGCATACAGCAGACTAATAACATCATTTCAGCCTTGGAAAAGCAGTTTTTCTAAAACTATTTTTTAATTAAAAACGGTGGGAATTTGCTGTATATTGTGACATATTAGGAATTTATCCATGCAGACTTGTTAAGTCCATATTAAAGTAACATCAAAAAAATATTGGGAAGTGCCAAAGTAGAATTAGAAACACCAAATAAGCAATTATGTTATCTTTAAAGTTAGCACAATGATAAGGTGATGAGCAGATGTGTAAACCACTTTCCAAACTCCCCATTCGTCGAGGATGATAGACAGAACTTTCTGTACGAACCAAGTTAGAAAGGAATGTTCCTTGTACAAATGCAGAATTGTTCTCCAGTTAATCTGACCTTGCTTGATGATAGAGGCTGAGCTGCCAAAGGACACACTATGTAATTTCATAACAAATGAAAAATACCAGCAGGTTTTTTTGTTTTTTCTAATGGTAATAAGCAAGCCCAAACAAAGTCCCATTCACACTCTACATTATCCTGTGTGTTAATGGGAAAATGCATTAAAGAGATGTTGTCATCTTGCCCAGTCAGGGCAAAGTGACAGGTGTCTTTAACCCTTTCGCTGCCAAGGACGTATGGCATACGGACCTACAAAAGTGCTTCCAGCTGTCCAGCTCAGTATGCCGTACGGACCTGGCATTTACAGTTCTACTATAAGCTGATGGTCGCTTTAGCGACCATCAGCTTATAGTAGAACTGTTCAGCAGAACACATTGGAGACTGTAGCGCTGGAGACTGAGAAGCTCGGCCCACTACTGATAAAGTCTGCGTCGAAACGCCTTGAGTGGCCTGATACACACCGACAACATCACACCAACCTGGAAGTTGCAGGGATGGACGTTCATTAGTTAGCACGTGTTAATGTTGCATAGATGTGAGATAGTTTTTAACAGTTTTGTCTGAATAAAAGTTTTAACTGTTTTTATATTATGGGGGATTTGATTTCTGATGGAAATTTGGATGAATAAAGTGGCGATCTGGGAAGATATGGTCACGTTCCTGAAAGTTCTGTTTAGCGATCTGCCATATCACTGTATGGGTACAGAGTTACAGAGGAGTAACAATTAATATCTGTAGAAAGATTGAGTGCATTTTTTACAGGTAGTGGGCCATCTTGTTTTGGGAGTTTGTTGAATTGGGAAAGAGCACTGGACAGGAGATTGGAGGAGCGCCATTTAGTTATGAATCTATTCATTATTTATTTGATGTTTATGGATTTCATTGCTATTTATTAGGGATGCACCGAAATTTCAGCCACTGCAACATATTGGCCAGAAATGGCACTTTTGGCACAAAATAGTGGTGCATCCCTGGTTTCTCTCCTCCCCGCTGGGGCTGCTCGGTGTCCCAGAGCGGAGTAGAGAAACTGTCACAAGAGGCAAAGTGGTGCGGGGGAGGAAAGTGATTTGAGCGGCGGGTGTCTCTCCTCCAGCACCGCCCCGCTCAGCCTCCTGTGACAGATCAGGAGAGCGGCGTTGTGGGGGCGGAGACAGCTGTCTGTTGCCACAGGAGGCCGGGTCGGCAGGTGCGGGGGAGCAGTCAGCTATCAGAGGAGATCGAGCTCTCCTCCCCACAACGCTCGCTCAGCCTCCTGTGACAGCGTGTCAGGATGGAGAGTAAGTACAAACACTCAGTGATCACTGAGTGTTTGTAAATAATTGAGGACATAGTATGTTTACTGTGTCCCCAATTATGAATGAATGGGAACATCACTTCCTGTTCATTCATTAATGTGGACATAGTAACCCATACTCCATATGTTATGAATGAACAGGAACACTCAGTATAGAGGATTCCTGTTCATTTATAACAGGGGCTGCAGAATAAGAGATTGAGGACTAAATCTCTTTTTCTTTTTTAAAAGGGAAATATCAGGGGTCTGTTTAGACCCCTAATATTTCCCCAAAGCCCCCAACAGTAAAGTAAGAAATTTAATAAAAATAAATAAAAGTACATTTTTTTAATTTTAAAGTTTAGAAACATTTGGTTTTTGGTTTTCATTTTGGTTTTGAAAATTTCATTTTGGTGCACCACTACTATTTATTGTTACTATACACTGAGTGGCCAGATTATTATGACCACCCCATCAGTACTTCGTTGGGCCACGAGATGACTCCACGAGATGACTTTGTTGGGCCGCCTCGTGACTCCATGAGATGTTGAAAGGTGATGCGAGGAATCTGACACTGCACTGTTGCCCTTCTGTTGTCTTGTACCAGTCTTGCCACTCTCCGTTCTGCCCTAACATTGACTAGTCGCTGACGGCCACAATTCGCACGTTCAGACCCACATTTTCGGCTGACAGTCCAGTCTTTAAACACGTTTACAATGAGCCCCTCTTAAACCTTTAACTAATTCTGCTGTTTTGCTGATACTCGCTCCATGGCTCGCGCAAACAATTGTTTTCATTTCAATTAATGATCACTCTTTTTATATAGGAAACTATCAAGAATCCATTTCAGCTGGCTGCAGAGAATACCAAATCTCCTCAGACACCCAGTAATGGTAGCTGCTGTGGACCAAAAGGATGTTGCTAAAGACAATGACTATCTATCTTGTAATTTAATGATATCACAAACTGAATTTAAATTTCACGCTTAAGTCGCTATGATTTTCTATAACTGCCAACTATGCAATACGTGGTATATGTACAAAGCTCCCCCAAAAGAATAATGTACTACTCATGCGGTTGGCTTATTGTATTTCACTGTAGTTTTCCTATTATTGCAGCCGTAACACTACTCGTGTGACGGTAGGCAGACCCTGCCACTCAGGACACTACATTTTAAAGTAGAATTAAACTCTCCAAACTTTTTTTTTCAATACTGAATCCAGATCAAACCTAGTATTTACATAGTTAGTCAGGTGGAAAAAAGACACAAGTCCATCGAATTCAACCTGTAGAGATACGGAGGGGAAAAAAAGAAAAGCCTAAACAGAACACTATGCCCACAGGGGAAAAAAAATCCTTACTGATCCCATATGGCAATCGGATATTCTCTGGATCAAATATACATTTCCCAGCAAAATATTTCTTTTACATTTTTGCCCAAGCATTTACAGTCATCATGATTCCAAATATCTGGCTCCTACTCTCTCAGCTCAGCTTCCCTGAACCTCCTGTCCAGTACAAGCTCACAAGGGACAAAGCAGACTACAGCAGCTGTCTATTTACTAGCTTGGAGAAAGGAGGATGCGAGTGGCTTGCCCTGAAGTGTCTGTGGAAACACACACAGCTTACTAGCACACACAAGGATGGCTCCATAGGACCCTGCAAGTGAATGAAGCCACCCTATAACAGGATATCAGGGTCAGTGCTCCGGGGACCAGCTGATTCTGCAGAAAGATACAATTTTTTAACATAACTATTGTAGGTAAAGTAATCAGCATTTGAAATAGTTTAAAAACCTTTTGACTTTAATATCACTTTGAGTATGTAGGAAATCTTTCAGGATATATATATATATATATA